GAACCATGTTTCCTAATAAAGCCTTTATGTCATCTTCTCCTCTGACTGAGAATGCTATTTTATTCAGGAGGACTCTTAATTGCTAGAGAAAGCTTTCTTTTTGGAGCTTTCTCCAATATGGGCTGAAGTTTCTTCTACAAGATAGGACTAATAATACTTTCAGGATTTTCTTCCAAGTTATATTCATATTTTCATTTTTCAATCACCACCTACTTATTATTCTTCCAGAAGGGGTAGCCATGTTTGTTTTGTTATAAAAATAAGGCAGTCTTAGCATCTGATGCAGTTGATTGAAATTCATGACATTTTGTGCTGAGATAAACTTATTATTGACTAAGATGGCAGAAGGCTCTTTGTGGCTTTTTGCTATTTATTCTGGACATTCAAATGAACGTGGATTATTAATAATTAATTAATAAAGTAAATTGGAGACCTGGACATTAATATTATAAATATTATATTTTCTTCCTTCAGGAATATGAATATATGAATGTATGTATGTATTCTTGAGGGAAAAAAAATAAATCTGCACCATTATGTCCACTGCATTATGTCAAACCAGCATGAGTCCACTTCCAAAAGTTTTAAAGGGAAATGGGGACCGGGAAACTGAGCTAGAATTACAAGCAGGAGAAACAAAGGAAGGAAGGTATGAAGGTCTTATAAATGGAAATATAAAATGTTCTATTGTCTGGAAAGTGGCAAGCAGGGAAAAATTAATAAGAGGTATGGTGGGATGTATATGTACCATAATAAGCATGTGGGTGAAATTCTGAAAGGACAAGTGGCAACCAATGCAGTCCCAACCTACCCAGAAACAATTATGCTGTATCATTATAGAACACTGTAATTAGGCTCCTGTGGAATTATTGGATGGACGTTTGTCCCAAAAAACCAGCCTCTTGTGGCCGAGCAGGAGGCACTTTTGTTCTCCTCCATCTTCCCTGCAGTCTCTCAAGGCAGCAAGGGCATATGTGGCCTCATTGTTGTCCGCCCTCATAAAACGATTGCCTTTCACTCTTCAGGACAATAAGACAGTGCTGATTAATCAGAACTTTTGCACAGCAAACAGCACTGAGGGGACAAATATAATTAATTCATAGTCCACAATGAGAAGCTGGGCACAGCTGCTGGCATCACCAAAACAGGCTGAGGGGTTGTTTTGCTTGGCTTATTGTATCCTATTGGGCTCCATTGTTTCATCTGAAATTGCAGAGGTTTTGTTTAATCACGATGCTTTGTATGATATATTTGACAGGGCCCATTCAGTGATTGCCATTCAGGGACAAGGCACCATTTGAAAGCCTTGAGATAATTTATTCCTTTCTGGGGTGTGGCTGGGATTTCTAGGCCCGGATTCAAAGAAAATATGTACATTTGTGACGTTTAGATCATGGCAGTGAGCTGAACCATACTCTGCAGTCACTTCCTCCTTCTAGACTTTCTGATGTTCTGGTGGCAGGTTGTTAGCAGGTACTAAATATAAAGTATACCTTTTCCCCAGGAATCTCAGAGTTCTTATTAGCAATCTTTATTGAGATGAAAGTAGGACTGTTACAAGAATTCCAGCAGATGAACTATTTTCCCTTTAGAACCAAAATATATCTTCATATGGTGGGGCAGGCACCACTTGTCCTTACAGCTTTCCAGGGTAGCAGTGAGAAAGCTGGTCTTTTCTCATGTGTTTGGGGTCAGGGTGGTGGTTCAGCAGCGAGGGTGGTTTAAATAATGGTCACTTAATTCATAGTCCAGAAATCCCTGGGTTCACTACTTCTAGTGTGGGTGTTCTTCACTTAATTGGTGTTAAAAGTGATTGAGCCAGACCCTCAGCTTTTGGTCCACACACTGCACTAAGACATAATGTAATTTGCTACATTTTGGTTTAGCACAGTACATGAACCTGAATATTGAAGCTGGAACCATGGCTTCTGGTTGAGTGGAATGTGTGAATTCAGCCAATAGTGACTTTTTAAATAAACTATACATACATACTTGATATGTAAGCCCACCTTGTGTGTCACAGTTTCCATCTGCTTCAAACTGCAGTGTGCTGTTCTTTTATAAATATCCCCCCGTATTACCTCATCCTTCATTGGGAGAGGAGATGGTCTGCCTCCTGTGCTCAATGCTGGGGAAATTCTGTCTGAATGGTTAACTATTTAATTTCCATTAGAACATACTGCCTAACAAAAAAGTTTTTAATAATGGTTGGTGATTACTTAAATGCTCTGATAGTTATGGCACCAGCTGTAGGTCCCAAAATACGAAGTTGATTGTACAGTATTTGGTTTTCCCAAAGGATGTACAAATGGCCCTGACTGATCTGATTCTCAGGCTTCATCTTAGCTGGACTTCTGTGTAACATTATTCAAATTTCTATAGCTACAATGTAAATGGAGTTATAGTTGTCAGCAATAAGATTATATTGGAAATTCCAATAATAAGCGTGCTGCATTAAACTTCTGTCTTCCCATTTAAGTTTGCTTCAGTTCAGCACATTCTTAAAAGAAGACAGCTGAATGACTTCTCCACCAATATATCGTAGAATTTATTAGTGGAATATTTCACAAATTTCCTTTATATTATTTCTTAGCAATATGCTTCTACTCTACATAATCCATACAAGGTGTATGGAGGAAGAGGCTTGAAATGACATGATCAGGGCAGTGATCTAGTCAACCCCAATTGACCTAGTGGTCTGCTATAGGAACACTCTTCTGTCTGGTCTCTAGGTGCAGCATCTGTTGTGTAATCCTAGTTTGGCTATAAAGGAAACAGGAATTCCAGCTTCTGGAGCCACTTTTTTTCTTTATTGAATGGGTTGATCAAGCAGTCAGTTCTAGAGAGTTTGAAATCTTAAAATTGCCCTGGTTTAATAAAGGTCATGGAAAATGTAATTGAAAGGAGTTGATTTTTGCACTTTTGCAGCCTGTATGGGAGAGAATTCCTTCCCAGTGGCTGCTGCTCCCAGGAAAGCCCTGGCTCCAGTATTTCTCACCTGACATGATGCTTTTAAGCTGTGGAATGTCTTTTGGAAAATGAGAAGCCTGGAATATCTTATTGTCCTCAAGTGAAACTGATACATAGGACATGAAGCCACAGTCTGGACGGAAATGGCAAAACAGCTTGACTCCAGGTCAGCAAAAGAGTGAGACCGGTCTCTACATTACTTATTCAATCTCTCCTTACCTATTCCAGTCTCTCCTTACTTATTCAATCTATATGCTAAATATACATTAAGAGAGGCTGGATTGGAAGATGAACATGGTTTTAAAATTGGAGGAAAAGATATTCAGAGGATGTGTCTGTACCTACAAAGGTCAGAATGGTGTAGGCAATAATTTTCCTGTGATATTCTACACCAGGGAGGCCAAGAAAACAAATACATCATAGAATAAATCAATTCAGAGTTTTCCCTTGAGACACAAATAACCAAACTCAATTTATCCTAATCTGGACACATTATGTGAAGACCCAGCTCCCTTGAGAAGTCCATGATGCTGAGAAAAGTGGAAGGAAAGAGAGGACCACCTGTAGCAAGGTGACTCAATTATAGTGATGATGGGTGAGCTGTTGGAAGACCTGAAGGACAAGGTTGGGGACAAATCATCCTGAAGAAGGACTATCTATGTGGTAGCTAAGAGTCAAAAACAACTGGCACATAACCGCTTATAGCTTCTGCACTGATGGCCACACAAAACTCCTTTCAACTGTGTTTTTGGCTCAATAAGTCAACCGGTGAACTGTTTGTCCTATCATTCAAGAAGTGGCAGCAAAGAATTAGACGTTTTGTTTATAACTTGGCTGCCATTAGTGGTCATCCATACTTGTGCCCCTGAGATGCAGCCACTGGGAAAGTGTTGAAAAGCTGTATTTTGAGATTTTTTATTTTTATTTTGGATAACTGAAGTAGTTTGAAAGCCACTTCTCATTTTATACTATTCCTATTCTAATATTTACTTAGATATTATGTTTCCTCTTATGCTTAACAAATATTTATGAATAGATAACCTGACATAACATTATCTTCTCTTCCATAACCTAAAATACTTCAAAAAAAAACTTATTTACTATAGGTCTACTTATTTAAGAAGAGTGTGTTTGTGTGTGTCTGTATGGTTTTAACATTCTTCATTTTATGGTGTTTCCTTGTTTCAAGTTCCATTGGTACAGTGTTGCCATGAAAGAACATACTGTACAATGCTTTTTGTCAAGTTACCTGTTAGCTTCTTCTTCCTAGAACTATTGTTATTTCATTGTCCGTATAACCAAATGCTTTTCTGTATTTGAGATATTGTCATCCAATTTAATTATGCAGGTGGTACTTCCTCTTTCATAGAACTACAGCAAGAGGCAGAATCTTTTAAGAGATAGAATCATTTTTATAGGTATTGTACTGGTTGCCAGTAGGCTTCTGGTCTCAATTCAAAGTGTCAAACATTACGTATAAAGTCCTAAATGTCATACTGACAGAATACCATGGTGACCTACCATACAAAATGATTCAGCCTGTCCAGCCAGATCACCCACAGAAGGCCTGCTTAAGATCCCACCCTGACATAAAGCACAGGTTAGAAAGGCTTCTCAGTTGGGTCCCTGGCAATCCACTTGGTATTCCTGGTCCTTAGGATGATATATACATATATATAGGTGGGTTTTCAATGATTTCATGCTTAGTGAGAATAGAGGCAGGCCATTTGATTTTATGTGGGTTTTTTGTTGTTATTTATTGCAGCTTTGGGTAGAGTTTATATTTATCACCCAGAGTCATTTGACTAGGGCATCATGAAAATGTTAATAAATAAATAAGCTAAATTATAGAACTGAACTATGTTGGAGGGAAGGAATAAAAAAAAAAATAAGATTTTGGGCTTCATCTCTGTTTCTTAAAATCAGAAATGAAATTTAATCAAATACAAATCTTTGACACTGTAATTTCCTAGCAAAAGGATTTTTAATGCACCACTCAGCAGAAAACAAAACTGGACAATGAACTTCAATCAATTTTATTTTGTATTTACGGTTTTTCAACAACCAATATAACCATTTGTAAACAAACTACATTAAAATGTTTTGCTGCTAAGCAGACGTCAGTAATACGTGCACATGAGTAAAAATTTTGCTTACTGTCAAGTATAGTTTAAAAATGGACAAGGAGCAAATAATACTGATTCAGTCTAAGCTGAAGCACCAGGCAAACACTGATTTAATTCTAAAGATAAGATAGGAAGGGGTCAAAGTGGATCTGTTATCCAGTTTGTGACAGTTTATTTAAATTACAATATATTTTTAGAAGCATAAATATGTAGCTAACAACTCCAAAAATGTGGTTATGCAGACACAAAAATGTTATGATCAAAAGCAAGTGCTAGTTCAAGAAATCTCAGGACCTCAAAATCAGCAACCTACAAAGCTAAATTTTATGCCCTCTTTCCAGTTATAAACACTTTTGCTAAACATAGGTATTTCAACATATATTAATATATTTTTGACATTCAAAGTTGTAGAATCAATATGGCAGAATTATTGTTAAAAGCACATATGTACAAATATTATTCCCTGTGCCCTATTCCCCCCAATTACATAAAGTATTTGGCATAATTATAACAATCTTACTGCATACACAACTGTTTGTTTCCCTCCCCACATAATTGTACTTATTAAAATTAACCAGTTATGTACAAAAATACTTGAACATTTATTATATAAAACGTCTATAGCTACCATTAACAGCATATACCTGCTGAAGATTTCTCATTGAGGGAATATAAAAAGTGGTCACTAATGTTCCAGTTAAGCTATCAACAAGGTGAACTGTTAAAATCAACACAAGTTTCCCAACAAAACAGGGAGATAACTTTTCATGGTATGATTGAAAAGTACAGACCACAGGATATCAAACAAATACTACAAACAGTAAGTAGGTTTTGTGGGAGGGGAAATAAGAGATAGAAAAATTGCCTATACACTTGTTTTTAGTTTAGTTTATACAGTCATAGAACTAAGTGCGAGCTTTCAAAATACCTCTACAGGAGCTTTCTAGTGAAATGCCAGTTAGAGCTCCATCTGGGATGAGTAAGAGCACTTTCAGAGAAAATATTTTGTAGGATTGGGGCTGAAATCTTGATTACTTTTTTTGCCAACAAGTTTTCAGTTTGTCCCTGAAAAGTCCTCTCTTCCCACCCTCTAAACCACTATCCCTTAAATTGCTTAATTTCTCCACATTTTTGCAGTGGAATACATAGCAACAGAATGGAAGAACTTTCATTCAGAAAGGAAATCTCCAAAGCCCTATACAGCTCTTTATTCTGGAAGATGTCAACATGCCTCACCCTTGGACATGCAGAGTCCCTTCAATTATTACAGTATGCCAATTTGAACTTCTTGTGTATATAATAAAAACAAGTCTGAATCTTGAATATTAAAATTTGTTGTTTGAATTAACTCTACATGTAATAGCCTCTTTTTCATGAACATTTGTTTGTACCCAGTTGCTTCCAATATTTTCTTCTTAGAGTCTGACAGTGGTTATTTCTTGACTCACAGTTAAAAGGACTTACTCGATTTGACCATTAAAATAATCTGAGGGGTTAGTTTCTGTCTCTGAAATCAATGATATTTTTTTAAAAAATGAACTTTACATATTGGCTACAGATTCTATAATATCATGATTATTAATTTTTATCAGCTGTAGGGAACTGTAAATTGCACCTCACTAAAATAAAATAAAATAAAATAAAATAAAATAAAATAAAATAAAAAAAATGGGAGGGGTACAAATTGTATAAGCATGTAGACTAACCACTATCAGAGTACTAGAAAAAAGATTTCTAAAAAACAAGTATCTGACAACATACATACAAATATTGAATAAAACGCAGTAATGTGTCAGTAGAAAGAAAGCAACCCAAACATTTTTTTCAGGAACTCAGCTACAACATCCTTGTAATAGGATCCCTTTCCAGTGCAACATGATCACAAATCACAACAGCTTTATTGTATTCATTAACTTTAAACCAGACTTTATTCTGCATTCTTTCCGGAAGTACACTGTTGCACTAATATGAAGCTGTCAAGGGAAGTATACTTTGATGATGTTTGAACAATTAGGCTCCAGGTTCAAATTCGTATGTAGAATCACATTTGCTGTATGCTATGCTAAATGTAGTATTTTCAGTCTCATTGCCTCTAGGACCTGGCTTTTTAAGCTATTACTTAAATTTGACCAAAATGTGCAACATAATATTAAGCAGTTTTTAAAAATCACTGGAAAGATTTGTGAAAAATATTAAAGTGCCTATATTAGATATGTTTTTCATTTAAGTCGTTCAAAAAAAAATGACTTTTTGACTTTTATTTATAACTGAGAGACTTTTCGTGGAAGAGGCCTGGGTCGAGGGACCTGTTCCGTTCTCTTGCTGCTGTTCTCTAAATTGCTTGGTCTGACCAACAAAGGTTTTGGGGGTAATGCTGGTGGATCCGTAGGAATGGGAATTGAAAGGCTGTGAGGTAGTGGGACAGGACGCCTCAGAGTCCGCTCATAAACGCTGTAAGGTGGAGGAGTCTTGCTCTCTTTTCTTACTGGCTCTTCAGAAATGTTGCAGTTAGAAAGAGGAACTGGATGTTCGTTGATGTGAGTTTCAAAGCCAGATGTTTCAGATGTGCTACATCGACTAAGTGAGGAAATGCCACTGCTGTAACTTCCGGACAAGACTGGAGAGTTGGAAATGAGCCCTGATGAATGGTAGTCCACAGGAGATGGTGTAAAAGATTGCACAGAACCCTGAGTTTAGAAAAGAAAAAAATTAGTCTGGAAATAGAAAGAAGGGCCGAGGAAGGAAAAGATTGTGGAGGAACGTGCCTTTGCATTAGTTCTGGGTCTCTGTGATGTAAACCACCTATTTCTACAGGAATTAAAATTTTAGATTAAGGTTTTGTGGCTTCAGCATCAAAAACTGAATGGTGTTAATTCACTGACATAAAACCTAGAATTACTCCAGACTCTGTTAAAGTGGTGCTAGAGCGCTCTCTAATGTCAGAAATGAGTAATCACATGCAAAATCTACTTTTAAATTTGTGGTCTGTATCTACTTTTAAATTACAATCTTCCAATGTATATTTTGTGTTATTTCTTACATCTGACCACAAAAGGTTTACATCGTAGACAAGTGAACTATGCAGAATTGGTGGTGCCTTAGAGCAGGGTTCCTCAACCTTGGCAACTTGAAGATGTGTGGACTTCAACTCCCAGAATTCCCTAGCCAGGCTGGCTGGGGAATTCTGGGAGTTGAAGTC